CTGGCAGCACCCTCAGTTGATATCTCAAATGCTTGGCGTTCGCGATGGATGAGTTTGGTGGCGAGCACGGCTTTCCAGAACCAACCCTGCTGTGCAGCCAAGGGCATTTACGGTAATGGGTTGTCTTGCGCGGAGGAGGAAGTTGATGATGATCTGCTATATCAAAGTCCCTAGTAACGGTGCGGAACAGTGTTGGACGATTGGAGGATGAGGGCAACAACCGACATGTTCGTCTCGATTGTGACATCACTCTCCCGGATGATGTCCAAGCTCCCCTCTGCTTCGCGATACGGACTTCAATTATTTTGGCTGGCGATATCTTTGCTTCGCCTGGTTCCGGCGGCTCTATTCAATTGCACAGCTCAATTCCTAGAAGCTGTGCTAAGTAACATCAACACAGTCGGCGGTCTCAGGGGCGAAAACATGGCAGCATTGCTTATGCAGGGCAGAGTTCAGCTTGAAGAAGCTGCGGTGCTTCTAGATGATGCATACGATGTGCATTTCTCACAGGAATCATTCCATTTCGCTGTTTGCGCATGCCTGGCGAGAGGTTTGGTCGACACTACTACGCGACAGGGTACCATGAGGGTTCTCTCTTCCTTCCTTGAGATGGCAGGTAGTTTTTCTGATGACAGTGATGGGCCGATAAGAAGCTCATTAGATTCGCCATATATGGCTCTAATTCTAGCAAGGGTCGCGGGCCACCAGGAACTCAAGGATATCCTCTGGTCGTCTGGGGTGAATCCGTCCTTGGTTGGCATGGTCGCAAGTACACGACAGCTACAGGATATTAGTCGGGCAAATGACCAGGACCTTCTGCTCAATACGGCCATTGAGCTGGTCGACTTCCAGTATCTTGAGGACGCGATCCAGGATCGAACTTTAAGATGGCTGGCCTTACTTGCCAAAGCAAGACCAACGGTTGTCCTTCATTTGTGAGATCAGGGTGCTTCATTTGCAGTAGTTGGCTTGGTGCTAACGGTGTTTTCAGGTGCGGCCCGCTGGCTACCATACTGAACGACACTCTGTCGCATTGCCAGAATTCGACAACGTTAGAAGCTGCGCACCTGCTTCTACATTGCCTTGCCTTAGATCCTCGCCTCAACCAGTCACTCGATACGCCTGTTCGACTGGAGGATGTCTTGGACGATCTTGGATTCAGCGGGCTTTGGCGGTCTTGTTCGATGGATTCTGCACACGAACAGGACAGAAAATATTTCACCTTGACAGAAAGACTGATTGAGGTAAGTTGAAGGCTTCAGTCATCAACCAAGGAAAACTAACAATCCGTTGCAGCTCATCATTATCTAGATGATGCGTCTAGTAATACACTGTTCTCGTGCTATTGTGCCATGCGGAAACATTGCACAACGTCAACATTCTTGGTGTCACAACCAACTCGGGTCCCCTCCCATGTCGCGAGCTGCTCACTACTTACTGTTGGTTATTTTCGGGGGCTGCCCAGCGAAGGGCCAATATGTTAACAAGGGACAATGTACCCTTTGCTCCCCAGCCTTGGGGCCCAGATTCCACGTTTGGTCGGATTGCCATATACCATGCCCATGCTCTCTGGTCTAGTTGCCGGGGAGTGAGATGCTTGGCCCAACTCTCAAACAGCAACCTAAAACTTCCAAGAACCCTTGCAGCATTTTCTCCAGCTTGTGTATCTGTGAAAGATGACGTCTTCGATTGTCGTGCCCTTCTTCTTGGTGACCCGGAGGTCATAGCAACGCTGGTGGGTTGATCAGAGGCGGCTGCGAAACTACTCAGAAGATAGTGTCTTGCGGCCTCGGGTTCGTGTACTACGAAGCCTAATTTTCCATGCTCACTACTGGGTCGGGATAAGTTTGTCCCCTGGTTCCTCATCGAATCTCGAGGACTGGTGTCGAGTGCCCAAACCGCTACTTCCTGATGCAGGTCGACAGGGTTTTGCAAGCGCAGTCCTTCCGCCAAAGCTTCGTTGACACATCTGCGAATCAACCCCCATCGATCCGGTCCCAACATGACGCCGCCAAACCATCGACTGACAACAACAAGTCGGTTAATCGAATCAGCTTCTCGAAGCAGGCGCAGGATGAATTGGCCACCACCGGTTTCACCGTCATCATCCGCGCCCTCGAAAAAGGTAGACGTTTCGGGCCGCTGGATCCGGTAGCCCCAGAAATTGTGAGACGCTGTCTTGAGGATGGGTTGCGAATCTATTAAGGCGCCAATGACGGATTTGGCAGCATCACCAACAGTAAAAGGAGCACTGTGCGCAACGAAAGACGAGCCCCGCAAGTCTATGCGCTGGGACGTCGACCAGCTAGGTGCTTCTTTCCTGGCTGTGTTACCAGGGCTTGGTATAGTGAGCCCTCCATTGTAACGGTTTGCCTGTTGATTAGTTTTCGTCCACACACCTTCGGAGGCTGTGCCATCTTCCTGTACTGTAGCAACTTGCTCGGGACATGCGGTCGATGTCCTGCCCAAAGTCGGTCCTGCAATAGTCTGCAAGGGATAGTCACCCCGCTTGAGTATCGAAATATCTCGTCCCATGACTCTCACAGTGGGTTGTCCATGTTGCCATGTTCCAGGTTTTGCCTTGTTATCTTGTTCAAGTCCCATGTTAGCGGCCTTAACTCTCGCATTGCTACTCATGACAGCCTGCGCAAGACTAAGACGGCTCGACAGTGGCTGCTCCGGCATAGTAACCCTTAGAAGCTCTAGTGTGAAAGCAAGTAGCACCGGAGCCCGGTTGATGTAAATTACGGTTGTTCTTAGTTGATCTTCTTGTGTGATTATAGGTATGGTCAAAGACTGTTCAACTTCAGCCGGGGTTCGGGA